AAAAATGTTAATCGTAATTTATTATATAATTAGATTACTTTAGTCAAGAGGTAGTCCACGATAGCCCAGCTCCAAATAATGTTGCATATGATTATAGAAATTTGTAAAATCATATGGAATAAATTGATTCATTATTTGATTAATATTATTTATTATATGTTCCCTTGTACTTGGTCTAGGAATTAATGACCTGTACTTGTTTTTGAAAACCCCGAAAAAAATTTCAATTGGGTTTAATTGTGGTGAGTATGGGGGAAGATATTCAATTCTCTCTTTATAGTCATCAATTAGATGACTTTTATGTATTGACGCATTGTCCATAACTAATATGGCATCTGGTGGTAATATACTAATAATATCCATTAATGAATTTCGGAATAACATACCATTATATGATCCTTCGATGATTTTATAATGTATAACTCCACAAATTCCTATAGTGCAAAGTACACTTACATTTTTCCCTTTTGAGGGTGGCACCTTTATTGATGGTCTAACGTTGAGTGGTGCCCAAGCATAGACAAGTACAACATGAAAATTGATGCCTGTTTCGTCGAGAAAATAGAGTCTTTCTCTGGAGATGTTCAGCAATTTGAGGCAATACACCTGTCGAATATTGAAAGCTCCTGGTGTATTCCTGCGATCTGGTTCTTTCCCAGCTCTTATTTTGGACCATCGGATGTTTTTAATATATTTCCTTATAGTTCCAATATTTTTTGGAGAACCAGAGGGCAAATTCTCAATTATATCCTTCACCGTGAAGGTATTATTGTCGATTAGCAAATCCATAATTTGCCTTTCAATATTTGCTGTGTCTTTAATCTTTTTCCCCCTTTGTTTAAGCGAGAATTCCTTTAAGGGCTCACCATAATTTCTGGGAATGTATCCCGTTTTATTTTATGTATTGATGCCTTTGACATATTAACAAATTTAGCAATGTCCTTAACTTTCATCTGTTCTTCCTCTGGCATTGCTAATATTTTCATTACCATTTCAATTTTATCTTTGTTCCAACAATTGTATGTTCTTTTGGGTTTAGGAATGGATGATTTTGAGAATGATTTATATTTTCATTAATAGTTGCTAAAGAATTATAATTTGCAGAAATATTAGAATGTGATTGATAATTTTCCATATCATTCCCATCTGAGATTGGCAAAGAATAATTTACAGAAGTACTTGAGAGTAAAGGAGATGTATTAAAGTTATAAAGAATGTAGTCTATATTAAACATTATAAGATTGAAAAATTAATTAATATTAAATTAAATATACAAAAATATTCCATTATGTAAATGATAGTTTTTTTTTAAAAAAAGTTGTTTAAAATTTTTTTAACATAGATTAATGTTAAGTATGATTAAAATAAAAATATAATAGTATCATTTTATTTTGTTTTAACATCTGGTAAAAAATATCCCCCCTTTCACTGTAAATAAATAGCAAAAAATATTATAATAATTTATAATTAATTCTAAAATCATAATCTTTATATTTTATCTGTACCAAAATTATTTTCATTATCAATGTCTACTGTCGACATTTAAAAAAAAATTTTTTTTGAAAAATATATTTACAATGCATATTTTTAATATAAATTTAAATAAATAAAATAAAAAGATTATGATTTTAGAATTAATTATAAAATTATTATAATAATTTTTGCTATTTATTTAGTAACGATTTTTAAAAAAATGTAGCACGCTAAAGCTATTACTAAAAAAAAAAGGTATGGAATATCGCGCTAAATATAGAACACTGCTTTTTATATATTTCAAGTTCAGGATTGAAAACGAAAAAGATTTAAAATTTTTTATCTTCATTCTCTTTTATTTCTGTAAATTCTATCTAACTATACATTTTGTTAATATGTTGAGGGCCTGACAGTCATGCCCATCAAGATAAAAAATGAATAATTTCAATCTAAAGATATTTAAATTAGCTTTTTTTTGATACCCATATCAATATTATGTGGTGATAAATATTCCTGCCCCCCCCCAAGACCCGCCCTCTATGGGTGATTATTATTATTACAATAAAAAAATATTTTTATTACCTTTAATTTGATACATATATCAAAAAAATTATTTTTTAGACCTCCCCCCTCCCCCATTAACCCCCCCCCCCTTAGAGCAAGTCATGCCCATCCAGACAAAAAATGAAGACTTTTAATCAATTTTAAAATTAGCTTTTATTTGATACCCATATCAAAAAAATTATATTTTACACCCCCCCCCCCAGATCAAGGCATACCCATCTAGACCAAGATTAAAGACTTTCAGTCAAACCATATTAAAATTACCTTTTATTTGAATCAAAAAAAATATTTTTTACACCCCCCCCACCCCAGACCAAGTCATACCCATCCAGACCAAGAATAAAGACTTTCAGTCAAACCATATTAAAATTAGCTTTTATTTGATACCCATATCGATATTTTGTGTTGATAAAAATATTTCTGACCCCCCAAGACTAGACCCGCCCAATATGGGGGAGAGATTGACCTCCAGTTGAATAGATCTTTTGATTATCTATCGATTGATACTCTATATTAGACATATCTTATTTCATAAAACCAAAAAAAAACAACATTGAAAATTAATGAATAACAATAAAATTAAAAAACGAAACGCGAGGAAAAAGCTTTTTAAAATAAAATTCTTCTATATCATGGTTCAAACGTGATATAGCCGTATAGTTCTTTATCCTTTTAAAAATTGAAATTTTAAAGGGATCCCTTTAAATTCCGTGAAGATCCCGGATAGTTATAATCCCTTTAAAAATTACGACATATGTATGATGAAAAAAAAACGTAAAGAATTGTTAAGACCTAAATTTATAAAAAAAATTTTAAAGTACAAAAGAATTATCAAGAAGAAAAAAAATTGAGAAAAGATACAAATAAAGTAAAGAAATCGCAAAAAGTTAGAAATAAAATAAGAAGGAATGACAAAAATAAATAAAAATTTAAGAAAAATTGAAAAATTTATCATTTTTTTAAAAAAAATTTTAAAAAATTACGATATTCCTTTTTTGAATGGGAATTTTCTTTTTTGATTGACACTTTTCCTTTCCTTTTGGGAATTTTCCTATTTCGATTGACACTTTTCCTTTTTTGATTGGACCTTTTCCTTTTTTGTTACTTTTACTTTTTTGATCGGACTTTTTCTTTCTTTTTGGGTTGACACTTTTCCTGTTTGGACATTTTCCTTTTATGATTGACCCTTTTCCTTTTTTGATTGGGACTTTTCCTTTTTTGAATGGGAAACCCTGTATCATCGAAACTAGAAGCTAATCAAATACCTATGGTGATCTTTCGTGCTAATATATTCGCGGTATTCGAGTAACAGGGACTTTTACATCCCATAAGCTATGACTATTTTACTCCCTATCTCCTCTAAAATTTCCATCTTACCTCCTTTTACAAAATAAAAAAAGTAAATTCAAATCAAACCCCCCCCCTTTCTTCAATTTTATTCAAAGATATTATTAGGGTAAAAAGTAAAACTTAGGCATGTTGTTGCCACCAATTTTTTTTTCTCTCATGTAGCCGATAAATGTTTTCACTGAATATATTCTAAAAAAAAGTTTCATGTATTGACAGATGGATCATTCCATGTCAAATCGATCACGCTTTGCCTGGCTCCCTTCGATTTTACGAAATTTTGTATGAAACTAAGACCCGTGTTAACTATATTTGTGCATAGCCTCCTAATGGGAGACGCATGAAAAATGGCCTTTTATATAAATGTTTATTTAATTAATGATTGTAAAATATATTTGAAGAATATTATAAAAAATCTTGGGTTCTTTTGTCTAGGACAATATTTAAATATTTAATCCAGAAAAAAGGTGGCTCCAATAATAAAATTTAAAATAAACATTACTATTACTATTTTATATAAATTTTAAAAAAAATTAGAGATGAACCTTTACGACATCATAGATAAATCGATAAAAACTAGTATAAAATGAGGAATATTTTTTATACTTAGCATATTTTTATTTGCATGTCACATAGTATAAAATGAGGAATATTTTTTATACTTAGCATATTTTTATTTGCATGTCACATAATTTTCAATACCTGGCTTATGGACCAGACTTTGGGATATGGGTTAGGTTAGGACTCTAACATAAAATATGAAAGGTCCAATTATTGATAATTCAACTAATTATAAAAACATTTTAAAAAAAATCCAATAAGCTTATATAATTTTATATTCATTTAGCCCGAATTGATTTCTAAATTTAATAAAGGTTATCCGGATATTAAGTACAAATATTTTATAAATAACAATAAATTCTTCTAAGTTTAATTTAATATCCAAATCTGTAAAATATTATGTATAAGTTTCCCAGCAAATAGTTTTGTTTAACCCAGCCTGGCTTGAGGGCTGAGTGATCTCTAATACTCACAATATTTTCATTGATTAATAATAGAAGGAGATGAACAAATATAAAAATATATGCCATATTTTTACGTTAAGGCAAAGCCTGGCCCAAGACTTCTCCATGATGTGATAAAAATATTTAGATCATTTCTTTAAAAAAAATCAATCTCTAATTTTTTGAAATTTAATAAAATAGTAATTGCAATGTTATTTAAATCGGAGCAACCATTTATCGGTATGAGGTTTTTAAATATTGTTCTGGAAAGATGCCCAAAACAGTTTTAAAATACTGTTATGGGGAAAAGATGCGCAAAACAATTTAAAAATATTAAGTGTATGTATGCTCTAATTGAACTTAATTTATTATTTAAAAACGTATGTGTTTTAAACAGTCATTAATTAAATAATAATCAACACTTATAATCATCAAGACTACAATGGCTAGGAGGCTAAAATTTTATTCAAATATCGTTACAAGAATCTTCGTTTGCACACTAAATTTTAATAAAAATAGAAAGGGGGTCTGAAAACCATGTTTTTTGATCGACTTTATATGGAATAATTCACGTAACTTTTTTAGTAACTAAAATTGGTAATCTAAAAAAACCTGATAAATTATCATGGAGTATAACATTGTCGTTTGATGCATAAATATGTAAAAATTTATTTGGTTGTGTATCTTTATCCTAAAATATCCTTAATATAGTAAAGTTTTTAGATATCAAACCGTATATGTGGTTGAGCTATTAAGGTTTGGAGATGATATAAGATCACTTTCTCCATATATTGACGTTGAACTATCAATCGGAGACAAAGTATTCAATTGAATTTGTTGTGCTTCAAGCTTTTATTTTATTCATAAATTGTAAAGTAATAATGTAGGGTTGGCATTATTTAATCAAATTGATTTTAATCATATTAACATCATTAATTTTTTTGAATATAAATCATGATTTAAATCAATTTTTCTTTTTGCAAATAATTTTAATAAATAATGTGTTTATTTTTAAATAAAAACATAAAGATTATATATTATTTTAAAATATTTTGTATACAAGTTATAACATATATGCACAATTTTTTAATAGAATAAACTTTTATAAAAAATAATTTAAATAAATTTAAATATTAATTATAAATTTGCCGTTATATAATTAGGACTTTTTGATAGAATGAAAATGGTTTTGGTTTTTTAAAAAGTGGTTCTATTCCAGTTTCTAAAATTTTGAGAAGAAAGTTCAAGGTTCTGTTTCCTAGATTTGCCTAGGTTCCAAGTTCTGTTTCGAAACTCTGTTATATCAATAAAATTTAAACAATAAATAAATCTTCTAAAATGAATTGCACACCATTTTAAATAATATACATATTTAACCCTTTCGCGCCCAGCGAGATCATTTGTCATCAAAATTTTTAATCAATTAATTTTTATATTTAAAAAACTAATGGTTGTTACTTAGACACATGAATTTACAAAACAATATTTATTATTTCGTATTTTATCATTAACCTGTCAAAATCATTATTTTATTATATCAAAATACAAGTTCAAAGTTAGGTATTTTACGCGCCTAAATTTTTACACTTTTACATCGATAATATATAAATATATATAAATCAAAAGTATATAATGTTTTTATAATAGACTATTACTAGTATTTCATATTTAGTAAAAAAAAATTTAACAATAATTATTATTTATATGATTTTTTGAAGGATATCCAAATTGGTAACATTGGGATTTTATAATGTAATTTTTTTCATAAATTTTTTAAAATTAAATATTGAAAATATGATATAGTAAGAATTGAATATAGGTTATTTTCCATTTATAAAGCCACTATAATATTTGCAAAAAGTTAAGAAAGTGGGAATTTTTTTTATAAGACTTTTTTTAAAATTTTTATAAATAATCTTTAGATGACCTCAATATATATTATACCAGAAGGAGATAAATTTAAACAATATATTAGTCCAAAACCGCATAAATGGGGAATTAAAATTTTCGCTTTATGTGGATCATCTGGAATGCCATATGATTTCGAAATATATTTAGGAATATCCACAAATATAAAAAAAACTTTGATGGGAATTAGCGGAGATATTGTTATACGACTATTAGAAACTGTTCCCCACATAAAAATCATAAAATTTACATAGATAACTTTTTTTCTTCATATAATTTATAGCAGCTGCGTTCAAAGATAATGGTTTATCATGTCGGGGACCCTTAGATCTAATCGATTATCGAAATGCCATCTGGCTGATGATAAAATATTAAAGGAAAAGGGAAGAGGGTCCCATGATTATAAAGTGGATTCTAATAATATTAAAATTTGCAAATGGTTTGATAACAAATCGGTTATCACCATATCATTATTTATGGGTATACATCCCATATCACGTAGGAGAAGATGATCAGTGTCTGATAAATCTTTCAAAATTCCGGCCATAATTCAAGACTATAACGGTGATATGGGCGGTATGGATCTCCATGATATGTTAATTGAACTCTACAGAACTGACATAAAATGGAAGCGTTTTTACATGCGAGTTTTCTTTCATTTATTAGATTCCTGTGTAGTGAATTCATGGTTGATCTATAGACGCCACATGAAACAGAAAAATAGTAAACATGTATCCCTTTTAGTATTTAAATCTCAGATAGCTAAAGGATTGATGATGGTTGGAAAGGAAAATGATGGAAAAGATGGTAGACCTACGTTGAAGATTGAAAAAAAAAGAAGGAAGTTGAATAATTTTCATCCAATCCCAGATATCAGATTAGATAAAACAGGGCATTGGCCATCAGCGGTTAGTAGACACAGATGCAAGTACTTCAAAAATGGTTATTCAAGATTTGAATGTATAAAATGTAAAATATCTTTATGTTTAAATAAAAATCGCAATTGTTTTATTTCTTATCATTCAAAATAAATTGTATATTTTTTTACATATGAATATCCTAATGATGACAATTGGTAACATTTCATAATTCTTTATATATATACACTTTTTTTAATAAAAAACGTTGAAAATGTGTTATTTGTGTCTTGTTTAACTCAGTTTTAAAAAAAAAATTTTTTGTTCACGGGAAATACTTTGGGCGCGAAAGGGTTAATAAACTTGCATTTGTTAAAATTAGTTCCAGAATCTATTTCTGGAAATTTTAAAATGTGTTCTGGTTTCAGTTCTTATAAATTTCAAAAGAGGGTTTCAGGTTCTTCGGGAATTTGCCCAGGTTCCGAGGATATCTAATTCTGGTTCCAATGCATTCAATATAGCTTAACAATAGTTACTTCATATATTTGACAGAAAAACAGATATTTAATGTAAAACCTGTTCAAATAGTAACTTTACTGGTAATTATTTTTTCAGGACAGGACATATATTAAAACATGTTATAAATATTTTAAAAAATCCATTTTTTTATTTTTATATAAAAATATCTTGATTTTTGCAAACCCTATAATAATATATTTATTACTTGATTAAAATTAGGTAACACTGTGATATTTGAATTTTTATATGCCATTTTACATTTCTGATATAATATCTCTGCTTTAGTTCGTATTCTTATGTCATTTTTAAAAAATCGAATCTTAAAAAAGGTTATGTAATTTTGAAAATCTAATATTTAATATCTACCTTTTTGAATGTATTAATCATTTCAGGAATTAAATTGATAAATTTTTCTAAATTGTAAGTTTCAATCTTTTCGAGAAGGTGATAGGCCTTATTTAAATCTAGTGATTTTGCTCTTAGGGACTTTTTGAGTTCTAAATCAATAATTCTTAATTTTTTCTCTTCAGGAAAATCTTAGGATTATATGATAATTTAAAACCAAATTAATTAATTAATTACGATTGATTTCTTTCTTCTTCTGTTCTAACTTTTCCAATCTTTTTTTTCTTTTTAACTTTTCAATTAAAAATCTATAAAAATTTAAAATCTCTTAATTTTGACAATAAAACCTTTTTTTGTTTAGTTCCATTTTATCCTTTACATAAGATGAAGTAGATAGGTCCTATAAATACATAAATTTAACAATGTATTGTATTATTTACCATTTTTATTGAATCATGATAAACATGCGATTTTTTATTCCATTTGGCACTTGTTTTAATTGATGTTGAAAGTGTATCAATACTCCCTTTTATGCTAATAAACGTTTTAACATGTGATTGAGAATTATTGACATTTGGATTAAGTTGTGTATTTAATAATTTTTGATGGTTATATAAGTGTTGTAGGTTTTTAACAGGGTGGATGAATCCATAATTCAAATAAAGTTTTTTATATTTTTTAATGGCTGGATAATCATTTATCATTATATTAAGATTTGATTTATTAATGGGTTTTTCATAATCAATTTTTATTCTATTGTCAAATGATTTGAATTTAGAATTCTCACCACTTGATAACATATCTAAAGTCAATGGTGCCCTTTTAAATTTTTGTAATTTTGGCTGTAGATTTTCATATTTCCTCTTAATACGATTGATTGTTCTCTTTTTAAGCTTTAAAATTTTTGATAGTTAAATAATTAATGAATTTTAGTATATTAATAAAAAAAACAATATAATGTAAGCATTCTTAAAAATATTTAACAATAAATTTTATAAACAAAAATGAATGAGTTAGTAGTATGTATAAATTCTATATTATCAGGGTGTCAAACCAAGTTGTGAAACCATATTAAGTGTTATAAATTTCCAAACTGTTTAAAAATATTTTTAAAGAAGAGAACCCATAAATTATATAACCAGATTAAACAAATTTTTGAAATTATATAAATTTTTTAGAAGATTAGTATAATATTTTCTTTTAAAATTATGTAATTTATGTGGTTATGTTATATTATTTTTTATTTTCTATAATAATGTTTGGTTTTTAGCTTTTAAAAACATTTTTATTAGTATTTTAGCTCAATTAATAAAATATATTATGTATGATTTATAATTGCAAATCTATAAAAAAAAACAAAACTTAAAAGAACCTATTTAAATTTCTAAACCAAAATGAATAAATAATTTGTTCAAAAAACCAATCAAAATGGAACTAAATTATTATATCTCTTGGTTTGACACCTTGATTTTAAATAAACTTTATATATATATATATAAATTTTTTTTAAAATTGTAATTTTTATTTTGATATAAAAGCTTATATTAAAAATTAATATCTCAACTTATATATAAATAATTTTATATAAAGGATTTGATTAAACTTGAAAATCTGAAGGATATTCAGAATTCATATTATATGTATCTGCAATTTTGGTGTTAATATTATAAGTATCTTTGGTTAACATAGGTGTGAGTGTATATATATAATAATTGTTACTTGGGCATGTGGGTTTTAATGACTGTTTTAAAAATAAAAAAATTTAAAACAGATTACTAAAAATACCTCATTGTAATTTGGAAAATATTCACTAACTTGATCAATAAACCATTTTGGATTTTTAATCTTCCTACCAAATGTAGATATACGTGTATATTCTGGTAATTCATTATCTTTGAGAACGTGAGCAAAATTGTTATATATAAATATTACCCATATTTTTTCCAACATTATATTCTGATGCTATAAAATATTTAGGAATATATTCATTCTTTGGAAATTTTATCTTTTTAATAATATTTTCATTAACAGGTGCTGTGGTATGGATAGTCTTTAAAAAAGGTTTTACAATAACTATATTAATATTTTACATTTTGAAATTCAACTAAAGGGTTGTTTTTGATTTCTAACAGTCCTTCATTAAATCCTTTATGTTTATTTGGGCAGCCAAGCTTTGTTTTATAATCTTCGTATAAAAATAAATCTTTTTTCCCTAAATTATAACTATTTATAATAAAACATTTAATAGTTATTTAAATATTTTAAACGTTTCATGAGTGCCATAAAAAAATATAGGATATTTTCCCTTCGGAATTTTTCGATTCAGTTGTTCATTATCAATCTTAAAATAATAAAAAAAAATATATTGATATATACATACCCTTGCAGGCCATGGAGGATATCCTTTAACCTTAGCAAATACAAGAGTTCCTGGTTTGTAATCAAGTGCCATTCATAGTTTTATAAAATTGAAAAATAAAAATATAATCGTAGTTTTTCAAAAAAATAAGAGGATTGACATTCAATCAAATATAACGGTGTCAAATTACAATGGCACTTTTTCTATTTTTTTATAAATTTAATATTTGAAGGCGTATGATTTTTAAATTTAAAAATTTCAAATATTAAACCAGTGTTGTTAAAAGCTACTTATATATTAGCATTTATTATATTATAACATTTATAAAATTAATATATATTAAGTAAGGAAAATAAAAAATGAGATTAAATGTGGTATTACTCTATCTCAACAAATTATAACGGAAGCAAGATTCCATTTTTTAGACTTAAGGCTGATGATACAGAGGATTAAATAAAAATTTGAGTTTAGTATAAAATTTAACAGAATTTGATTAATATGATAAATTTAGAAATCCTTTCTGTTAAAAGCATTACAAATTGTATTTCAAAACAATTTAAAAATTATATAATTATAAATAATAGTCGAAAAGGCATGGTTTATTGTTGTTAAAGAGTCGAGTATTACGACTCAGACTCCAAGTCATAATTCGACTCATATTTTCGACACAAGCCTTAAACTCAAGTTGCGACTGGAGTTCTGAATGAGTTGTATATTTTTTAAAGAAAATTTTTTTTTACTTCAAGCATTAAAAAAAATCAAATTAATGGAAAAAAAAATCATGTTTTTATTATATAGCAAATTAAATTTTATTAATTTACAATTTTTATATTATAATTAGGGGTGCACACAGTGGCGTAGCTACGGGGGTGGTTTTCGGGTTTGGACCCCTCCCAGAGCAAATATTTTTTTTAGATTATACGTTCAAAAGACTTAAAAGTTACTTTATATCAAATAAATACCATGAATATTTATATTTTTGATGTTCGTGGAATGATAATTTGAGATAATCTACGAAATTATAATAATATATTATTGATGCATTAACTATATTTTTTATATAATATCGAAGATATTGTTATGATTTTTAAGATAAAACGGCCGAAGGCCGGGCTAAAGAGCCGAAGGCCCGTTAAAGGGGGTCTGGGGGGCGAAGCCCCCCAGTCTTATATATGTATGGACCCCCTCTAAGGAAAATTTTTAGCTACGCCACTGGGTGCACAGGTCTAAATCGCATTAATTACAATAGCATAAACATACTCACTTTATGTTACCACTAGAAAAATAAAAAATAAATATTTAGAAAGATTAATAGATAAAATATATATATATAATTAAATATATATATGTCTAATAAATATTACATATTAAATAAATAATACATATTAAATATATATTTAGAAGGATTAATAGATAAAATATATATATAAATTAATTTAATTATGGGTAATAAATATTTCATATTCATACATAAATATTTCATATTCATACATAAATATTTCATATTCATACATATATTTTATTACAAGTATAATAAATTATATAATTTGCCTTCATATACATATCCAAATGTTCCATAAGGGTTATTGCCAGAGTTGGGCAGTACCACGAATACTTGTATCTAAGATACAAGATCCTTTTGTATCTTGTACTCAGTATCTTTTTGACATTTTTAATTAGACACTAGTATCTTTATCTAAGATCCTTTATTCTGAAAATAATTTTGTATCTTTTTAATAAGATGGTTTACGCAAAATATTTTGAGAAAATATTTTCCCATGTTGGCATTTAAAAACTTATGGATTGAATTAAATGATAAAAAAAAATACCTTGAAAATATATTAGGAGCCCTAAATGTACCAGAGTTAAACAAGCTCGAACTATGACATCAATATATTTAACATTAAATAAAGAAAATGATGATTATTTCTTTGTAATAAATGTTGCTGAACGTTTTAAATTATAATAAATAAAGTAGAAATACGTTATGCAATTCGCAATGTAATTACTACTTTATTATCAATGCGGCAGAATTATCACTTTTTCAGGTGTGGTATATTCTTCTTTATATCAAAAGGACTGAGAGAAAGCCAGGCAAATTATTCCAAATTTGGGAGTTAATTTATAAAGGTAAAATAAAAGATGAATATTCCAAAATTGGAAATTAATATATTATAAAGGTAAAATAAAAAATGATAAATATTCCAAAATTGGGAATTGACATATTATAAAGGTATAATAAAGAAAGTTAATATTCCAAAATTGGAAATTAATATATTATAAAGGTAGCATTAGAAAAAATGCTCCAAAATTGGGAATTAAGATTGTTAAAATAAAATGAGCAGACAATCCAAACTGGCAAAGATGTAGTAATAGCGGGAAAAAAAATATGCATCAAATTATTCGAAATCATTTTCCTAATCTATTATATTATCCATGATATTCTTCATTGACTATGTAAGAAATTAAATGTCAATTTAGCTAAAAATATTATAAAAAGAAAATTAAATTTCTATAAAAATCATTTTTAGTAACTAAGAAATTGTATGTTATATTTACTAGTATTCGCTAAAAAGAAATAAAATCCTTATATAAAATTATTCGAGAATATAATAGGAATTATTCCAGGATATCTAAATAATTTTTAGGAAATTATATTCGAAATTAGGAAATATAGTAAATGATTGACCGATAATAATAGAGATGTGGATGAAAATTTTGGGTATACATTTTTTATATTATATTCTGTATTCAAATTGGAGAACATTATGATGAAATATTAAAAAATATATTCTATTCTTTATTCTAATTGGGGAAATAATTGTAGCCGTAAAAATATTATATATTTTTATTCCTATTCGTGATACGACTAACCCTGAATTCATAGTGGCGCGATTGCGATTGCGATTTAGACTCGATAAATACAAAATACAGTAAATATGATATCGCATTCATAGTTACCGATCGCGCGATTTGATACGCGAAAGCAAATCGCCGCGATTTTTTCAAAACACAAATCATTTTGTGTTTATCGCGAAGATTTTGAAATATTGCTTCGTTAAATACACATTTTGGTGAATTTATCTTAAAATTTAAGATTTAGCGCTATTTTTAAATTATTTGAAATGAATTCAATGGTTACATTTTTTGATGATGTAAAATCAAAGAATCATCAAGTTAAAATTGTGATTTAAATTTAAAAAAAATTTTTAGAAAATAGATAAAACAGCTTTTATAATATCAGAGAATATGAATGTTTGTATAATAAACAATAATTTATATAAAAATATTATACAGAATAATATTTGGGAATTATTAGCCCACCAGTATAATATGGCCAGTAATAATTTTGCATATATATTATATTTATAAACCTTTTTAGATTCATCTCTCAAAGCTCTTTGGAAAAATCTAAGAGATTTTTTCATGAGAGAAAGACTAAAAATGACCAAACTTATGAGTGGGTCACAGGCAGACCATCATATTTCATGGCCATACTACCAGGATATGCTATTCCTGGTAGAAACTGTAACACCAAGGTTACAGTTATCCTCTTTAGATATGGGGGAAGGATTTATTCCAAAAGATGTAAATAATATCTTTAATGAAATTATTGGGGAGACAAATGAATGTAAAATATAACATTTGAATTGGTAATATATTTTTTATTTAGTTGATTGTATTGATAGTGATCTTATAATAGATATTATTATTCCTAAAGGACCTCCATTACAGCTTAGTAATGAGTGTGGTAATTATAAATTTTAAAAATATACATTATTTATATTTAAGAATCTATTTTTTCTGACTCTATTATTTCATATTGTAAATATCCTAAGAGGAATAATGAAATAGGTAATTTATATTTATTATTTACTTTATAGAAAATTTTAAAATAGATGAAATAAAAACTTTACTAAAATTAGAACATGAAAAAACGATATTGGAATTAGAGATGACTAAAAATAGATATAATGAGAGAGAAATTAGACAGATGCAGTATTCAAGAGAAGAAAGATCTTTCTGATCAAATGTATGATCTCATACGCAACTTTAATTAAATAAAATCATTTTGTATATATTTTTATTATGAAATAGATATTTTGTGTATATTTATATTGTTTTAAATAGATATTTTGTATACATTCATATTATTTGAAATAAAATTATATACTATTAAACAGAGTTGGGCAGGTCCTCTGGAAAAAGAATCTAGATACAGATTCTTTGTGAAAAAATGAATCTTAGATACAGATACTAGTATCTTTTTCAAAATATCAAAAAGATACAAGATAAAAGATACTTGTATCTTTTGCCTATTTAGAGTATCTTAAATATAAGATACTTTTAAATTATCATTACCAATTAAGTTAGAATAGTTTGTAAAATACAGTTTTTATTATTTATTTGTGAAGAACATAACATTACCATAATAAGAATGAATATTTGCAAGAATTAATAAAATATTTAATGATGAGTTGATTATAATAATCAGGCATTTTAATATTAGTATTAGTCCATTCTTAGCATAGGTAGGGAAGGGAGACTAGTATTGGAGTTGAAATATTAATTTGCAAAAGAGTATTTAAAATAAATTCATTATTTTATAAGATAATCAAATTTTTAAAATATTTATAATTAGACCTTTGCCATTTTGGCATACTTAACATTGTGCCAAAACTAAATAACCTTTCAATTGGAGCTGATGAATGTATTGCAATATTATATTTATAAAAAATTTCTTTAATGGAAGGATAATAATTAAACATTTATTTTTATTATAATATATATAAAATACAAAACAAGATATTTATATAAAATACAAAATAAGATTTGATTAAATTTATAAATATCTATAATATGGGATTTTTATATAAATATAAACATAATAAATTTCTATTAAACTTTGCAAATTTGTTGCTGATTAAATAAGTGAATTAAAGGGGATAATTTTTTTTAAGGTTGATAGGAATATATTTTTCCTTATCAATTATAATGTTATGGAGTAAAGTACATGTTTGTATTATATTTTCTGTTAGCTGTAATCATATGTTGGGTCACCAAAGTTTGCCATATAGCTTTGCAAGTGGTCCTAACAATTTTTTGGATTGTAGATAGGAATAAGCTAAGGTAGGATATCTACAGCCTGTAGCTAAATATCTAAATAAAAAATATATTTAAATAATAAATTGCTTTATTTTTACCTTAAACAAACCATTAGCTTTTCTTCAACACTTATTGGATATTTTATAAAATTTGTGGATGTTGTAAGCAATATTGGTTTTACATGCTCAAGTATGTAATAAAAGGTTTCCTAAATTAAAATGATTTATAGATAAAATAGAATAAAATTACTTTGGTCATCCTCATATAATTGAAAAATTTAACCTTATTTTTTAAGAGTTTAGGAAAGAGAATGTAAAATTCGCCCTCTTTTCTTTTATTAATATTAAGATTGTATAATCTCCTCCTCTTCAATATTATTTTGTATAAGAGAAATAATATGGCGGCTCTCATTTTGTGAATTAATATAATCGCTTAATGAATGTAAATCGCTGCGATCGATCCAGCTGATCAGTCGCTGAAATCGCGGCTTAATCGCTCTCACTATGAATTCAGGGTTAAACGGCGTCCTCCTATGGATAAAAAAGCCGCATTTCTTAATTTTTTTTCTAAAGTCGTTCTTAAATGTATATTCGGCTAAATTTTATATACAATCAAATAAGCGGAATGTTTAAATATAAAGTTTGGAGTAAATTAAAAACGTTCAATGTTATTAAAAGATTGCACAGTGATTCGTTTATAAATTTATCATTGTTATCTTCGTAACTTTTTGTCTTTAACCTATCAAAGTGATTTTAAAAAAAATCACTAATAAATCAGATATTTTTTGATAATATATTTTATTTGTGTATAAAAAAATCAACACTTGTAAGTTTTTTATTGTAAAATAAAACTAAAATATAATTTTAATATTTAAAATTTACTAAAAAAGATATTTTATCTAAAAATTCAGAAAATTGGGACGTTCTTTCATATATGGCTGTTAAATTTGTAATATGCTCATCGATTCTTTCATATTTTATATTTCTTCGCCGCACTCTAGATCCATTATTCTGGATAATTTTGAGGTAGTTAGAATGTTGATGACCTATTAAAGTTTTTATAAGAATTTAAACATTTGGTTGAGCGTGTGCCGTTTTTCTCTTTAAGGCATGATGAAACCCCTCTAAATGATTATTAGTGTGGGGACCATCGACTTTATATCTAAATTATATGAAAATTTTTAAAATTAATTAATTATATTTAGAATAACTTGTCCATATACCATAAGGAAATATGGCATTAAGGCTTAGCCATGTCGTCCATAAAATCCATGAACATGGGATTTTCAGACGCCATAATATAACAATTTTGCCTTACCCTAGATATATCTTCCTCCTTACAAAAAGGCAAAGTTGTAATGCGCCTAACAACTTTGTGAACATTGGAGTGGTTCAGGTACAAGCTTACCAATCCTAAAGATTGACATCTTCGCCATAACGCTTGGGAATAATGGGAAAAACATCCTAAACAAAATTATATTAGAATATAAATCATAAATTTAACATTTATAATCATGCTAGGAAATACAAACTTGAGAGCTGATATAACAGCTGCCTCAAAATCTGTTTGGCCAAATCGAGGATTAAAGGTTATCTGGCGTTCGGCGCAAAAATTAGTAATAATTTGAAAAAGCCGGATACAGTCAAAACCGTTTAATTGCATATCGCTTAAGTGCAAAAACTTTTAAATGCGAAAAAACCCCGCGATTTTGATAATAATTACTATGGTATAATGTTAAATTACATTTATAATTGCGAATCGGTTAATTGCGAAATATCGGATAATTGCAAAATTTTTCAGGTCCCATTTATATAACAATAACGTTAATTTAATCGGATAAGTGAAAAAATAAAAAAAATTTATCGAAAAAAATTATTCATCATTTTTTTTATTTAACCTTTTTCCATTCATTCATTCATTCATTACCACGCCAGAAATTAATATAAAAATGGTAAAAAAATCATTCCAAACATTAACCCTGAAGCATAAAAAAGAAATAATTGATAAATTAAACACTACATCAAAAACACAATTAGCATCAAATTACAATTGCCACGTCTCGACAATCTACCGTTTAATAGCGAATAAAGAAAATCTATGCTCACAATTTCTAAGGAATAAACCTCCTACAACTAAAAGAGTTAGAATGAGTTGTTACCCAAAGACAGAAGCAGCTTTATTGGTTTGGTTTACACAAATGCGAAGTAAAAATTGCAGTCTAAATGGGCCAGTGATGTTAGAAAAAGCTATGTTTTTTAGCCAAACATTCAATGAAGGTAATTATAAGTTTTTATAATATATATATATAAATTATAGGCATTCCTACTAGCAGCTGGTTGCAGAGATTTAGGAAAAGACAATATAAATTTTCATAATGTTTGCAATGAAAAGGGGAGTGCAGATATTATTAATGCAAATGAATGGAGCAGAAATACACTCCCATCTCTGATTAAAGATTATCAAAGGAGTAATATTTACAATTGTGATGAGACAGGACTATACTACCGTTAATGCAAATGAATGGAGCAGAAATACACTCCCATCTCTGATTAAAGATTATCAAAGGAGTAATATTTACAATTGTGATGAGACAGGACTATACTACCGAGCATTACCAAAGGGCACAATGGAATTTAGTGGAACTCAACCACTGGGCTTCAAACCAGACAAGGAAAAGGTCACAGTTCTATTTATCATAAATGGGGATGGATCTGATAAAAAGTTATATGTTGTAGGGAAATTTAAAAACCCTAGGTGCTTTAAAAATAAAAAATTACCAGTTAAATACTACTCCAATAAAAGCAGCTGGGTGACAACCTCAACTTTTGAAGATATTCTTAAAGAATGGAATTCCTCATTAAAGAAGAAAATTTTATTGTTTGTCACAAAACAAAATTAACATTTAACAATATAAAATTAATTTTTTTACCAGCAAATACAACATCATTAATTCAACCTTTGGACATGGGTGCAATTAGATCCTTTAAATGTCATTATAGAAAGGGTATCATGAGAAAAATGATAACATTGATGGAAGGAAATGACACCATTTCTTTTTATAAAAGATTTACACTTTATGATAGCCTCTATCTTATAAAATTTGCATGGGGTGAGGTGACAAGTACCACAATCATAAAGTGTTTTATTGAAGCTAAATTTTTTGATAAGTCTATGGCATTTGATTGGGAATCGGAGGATGATATCGCATTAACTGACAACAAAGAAGATGAATTTGATCCCATATTTGAAGAATATGTGTTACACGATGATGATGCTAGCTGCCATGGAATTTTAGATGATCAGGATATTTGTAATCAGATAAGATTAGAGTTGGAAGGTTTAATTACTTAAAATTTTAATTAATCTTATTTTTTATAGAAGGTTATGAAAGCTCCGAGAATGACGAAGGGAACCTAGAGATATCTGATCATTTAATTACAAAAAATCAAGCTCTTAATGGTTATTATACTTTTCTTGAATATGCTCATGAACATCTAAGGGATCAAGATTCACTAAGAAAGCTAGAGAATATAGTGGAAAAAGAATTATTTACTCCAGAGTCTAGCCAAACTCTTATCACAAAATATTTTTATTAAATCTTATATTACTTTATAATAATTGTGATACATGTATAATAAAATTAGTTCAAATAAAATCTTATGTTATAAAGCATTAATAAACTTTCATTCCAGCATGGTCTGTTAATACATTTACATTTATAATATTAGAATTTATAAGATTTGAATAGGCATAGGATTTTAAATCAAATATCATGTGAATGAAAACAAAACACTTAATAAACTTAAATTCTTTTATATTTATCTTATTGTTTCCAGTTTTTTAGGCAAAATATTTTAAAATTTGGCTTTAATAATAAATTAGAATTTAAAAAGTGATAATATATTTGTGTAAAATTATATTTCAGTAAATTTAATGAAGGTAAAATGACAAAAGTAGTTAAAAATAATGGAAATAAATATTAGGGTATTGTAAAGGAAAAAATGTTATTATCTTTCACAAAAGCTTTTTTTTGCTTTAATTCTTACATATCTTAAATAAAAAATGAGATAAAATCAAGTAAACAAATTTAATTATTATTTTATTCAATAAAAAATAATTTATCAACAACTATAATGCTAATACATAAATAATTACAATCTTTTTATAATTAAGTCTTGTTTTCTTTGTTCCTTTCTGTCTATAATCATGTCTAGATCTAGAGAAAATATAAATATATATATCAAAATATATCACATTACTTTCAAGTGCTTCAGATATTTTAATATTATTTGATTGATCTAAATTAATTGAATACTTTTTATAAAATAATAACTTGATGAATTGACGATAAAAATATAGGATTATTGGTGGGAAGAAAAAAAAAGCTATGATCATATGTTTCAACAAATAAGATAAATTTTTAAAATTTAGTTTTTTTATTCGTTACATAACTTATTCAAATTAAAATATATAGTTGGTTACATTAATTAAAAATTGTATTTATTGCAAAGTTTGATGGCTTATATGATTAAAATATATATAGATGATAAATATCTTTATAAAAAACACAAACTGATTTTTAATAAATAAATTGTTGAATTTTAATCGTATAATTGCGAAATTTTTAAATATTTCGGTCCCAAGCTTTCGCAATTAAACGGTTTTGACTGTATATGTTTCTTTTGTCTTATCCGGAAGGAGAGCGTAAATGATAGGTATCTATATGGATGGAACTTTTCATGTAGCTCCTACCTTATTTTATCAACTTTATACCTTGCATGTTATGTATGAAGGTGTTATGATACCCAGCGTCTACATGACAAGATTTTCACTGGATGCAGACCCCCTTCAAAAACCTTTGCCTTACCCCCTAAAAATTCTCGCCGCCCTCGGCGGCGATGTCTCTCTATTATTATTTTCATCTTTTTAATTTATTGATACTCTTTTCAGAGAATTAATAAAGGATAACTTAAATTAATCTATCTCTACTACCAAATATCGATATTTTAGGAATATAAAGAATTTATTTTTAGATAATAAATTCAATTAAAACCTCCATTATTTACAATGAATTAATTATTATGGCATTATGAGCTTGCTGAAATATCTAAACCTTAAATTACATTACAAAGGATAGCAGAAAGTTTTATTTGGAAAACAATGTGTATGATTGTTTGCATATTGATTTGGTCGATGAATTGTATTATAATATAAGTATTAAATTTTACAGCAATAAATTTTGTCCTTTTTGATCTCAAAATTTAATAGATAACCCCCCCCCCCCCCCAAAAAAATTTATCATACCCCCATTAAAGCAGCCTACCCCCTATCCCTTCAAAAAAATTGGATGCAAACTGTTCCTACCCCTCCCGCTCATGTAGACGCTGCCTGACCCCAAAAAATGTGTGCATATTAGTGATCTGCATCGGGCCTAATTTTTCAAGCCCGGCCTGGCCCGAAATTTTTTTTAAAAATTGCCGGCCCGGCCCGAACCCGAAATATTTTTAAAAAAGTTTGCCCGGCCCGGCCCGAACCCAAATTTTTTTTTAAAATATTTACCGACCAGGCCTGGCCCGAATTTATTTAAATATAGAAATTAATTTTTATAATTACTTAAAATAAAAGACATATGTTATATGTCGTTTAGTTTCAATAAATAAAATCAAATATTTTTATTTTACATAAAAAATTAAATATAAAATTGATAAATTTAGATATATTTAGATATATTTAAAAAATTCCAAGGTCCGACACGACCCGGCCCGAACTTTTTTTAAAACTATTTGGCCCGGCCCGAACCCAATTATTTTAAATAAAATTAGGCCCGAAGCCCGGTCGGGCCGGCGGGTTTAACTTTGCAAATCTCTAATGCATATATCTTAAACAATAATTTGAATGAAAGAATGTAAAAGTTGATATTTTTTATAAAACTATTCATCATAATTTATGCATTTTTGGAAAAAAACATTTATATATAAAAAAAGTGAACCAAAAATACTTTTTAAGAAATGGAATATAAGCAAGATAAGTCTTAAGACAAAAGTGAAATGTATTATAATTATTAATGATAGATCCATAATTACTAAATAATATAATATATCAAATTTAATTTTTTATAAAGTGTGTAATTTTAATTTATTTATCTTAATAAAAGTAAAATATAATTATAAAACTATTGATAAAATTAAATCATAAATTAAATAAAAAAATTAAAGCACAATACAAACAGTGGAATATTATATATCGTAGATTTACAGTATATCTAATTTTATCAATTATCATATGACAATCAAGTAATTTTTACCAATATAGCGAATTATATATTTTACAGAAAACTATAAAATATTGATAAGGATATCAGAAAATATCTTTTAAAGACATTGTGGGATGAATAACATAAAGATTAGTTTTTAATATCATTTTTTTTTTAAATTAAATAGATTGCGTTAAATAATTGAATGCAAATAGTTGCTATATTTATTATTAAGAGCATTGATTAGTAAAATTTGTTAAAATATTAACTGTAATATATTTATAATCTGTAAAATATGTCTGTAATATATTTATAATCTGTAAAATATGTCTGTAAAAGTAGAATTTTACCTAGTATTTTTAAACTAATTTTATATAATAGAGGAATATCAACTATATATCTACTTACCTTTTATAAATAAATTTCTTATACTTGTTTGGAATAAATTATTACCATGCTTTTATATTTATACAAGTAATTTATTATATTTTTTATAAACTAATAAAAATATATTTCATATTTGTTCCAGGCTTATTTTTTTTATTAAAATTAACTTCCTATCTTGTAAAAATATTTTATGACTATATATAGACTAAGGTAACCCGGCCGAAGACCTAGCAAAAGCGGACCAAAGGCCCGCCCAAAATGGAATCTGGGGGCGAAGCCCCCAGTAACTTTTTAATTCCCCCTCCCTTAGGAAAATCCTGGCTATGCCTATGAATTGTTGTATATAGGTGAATATTTACAGATGTACCTTGATTCATAAATTCTACTTTTATTTAAAAATTCACTTTAAAAAAATCCAAAAACTAAATAAGATTAAATAAATACCAATTTATTCTCTAAGTTATACAGTCCTATCTAATCAGTGGCGTAGCTACGGGGGTGGTTTTCGGGTTTGGACCCCTCCCAGAGCAAAAATATTTTTTTAGATTATACGTTCAAATGACTTAAAAGTGACTTTATATCAAATAAATACCATTAATATTTATATTTTTCTGGTTTTGATGTTTGTGGAAGGTATTATATTACTATTGAAATTATTCTGGATAGTATTATCATAAAGTCATTGAGAATAATCCACTAAATTATAATAACATATTATTGATGCATTTAAAAAATATATTTATTATATATTACCGAAGATATGGTTATGATTTGTAAGATAAACCCGGCCGAAGGCCGGGCAAAAGGGACAAAGGCCCGTATAAGGAGGTTTGGGAAGCGAATCCCCCAGGCTTTTATATGTATGGACCCCCTCTAAGGAAAATTCCTAGCTACGCCACTGTATCTAATGGATAGCTTGAAAATGAGAGTAATAATTTGTATTCATTTCAATAAAAAAAATTTTCTTTTTAGAAATTCTCTCTTGTATATACCAGGGATGTGAATCCTTGGACAATAAAAAAGGGTCCAGGTACGGGTTGCGGTACAGGAATATAATTTAAAAAGGACCCGGGTTCAGGGTTCGGGTTCAGGGAACATAAAAAATACTTCATTATATACACATTCATAATATACAAATATAAAATGTAATGAAATAATTTATATTTTAAATGTTTTATTCAATCGCACAATCATTTATAAATATCATCCTTGAGATTTCCATGTAAATTAGATAAGACAATATATATTTCAAAGATGAAAATCCACGTTCTGCGCTTACCAAAAATAGATAGTTATCTTTATAATACTTAAATTATTGTACTTGTGTGGCCGGTAGAGCCATGATGACTAGACAAGATATATCATTTTGGATATATTGAAGAATTTTCTTCCCAGAATTTAAAATATTTGTATTCTTATTTATTCTCTTAACTTCTGAGAATTTTTCTATTAAAGATGTAATAGGCATTTTTTGATCCTCCTTTCTATCGGATGAATTTTATTTTTTTTTCTCTATCTAAAGTAAAATTTAGATCATCAATGTTGGTATCATTGTTATTATCATCCCTACAACCAATAGGTATTGTCGTATATATTGTAAATACTGGAGTTTTGCGTATGCCATAAATCCTTAAGATGGTCTTTAGCTATTTGATTTTGCTCAATACTCAATAAAACTTGATACCGAGGGTCTAAATATATAGAAGCGTATACAACACTATTTTGCAAATATTTATGCTCTTAAATTTTCATGTTTTCTAATATTTCGTATAAAAAGGACTGTATTTTTTTCTAAATCTAATCGGCATCTAATCCATATGCCATAGAATCAAATAAACATAATTGTTCTGATTGTAATCTTAATAATGTTATTTTTAAAGGAACAAATATAGTAGTAAGGTTCTTTATTTGGCACCAATTTCGACAAAATGACTTCACATGCTCCTATAATGAATTCATTACGGAAATCTTTCAAACTTAATAATCGTTCTATCATCATACAAATTGAGGACAAGCGTGTTGTGCATTGTCATTTAAATTATAATAT